CGGGACTTATAATTGAAGAAGCGGATTCGTATCCATTCGACAAAACAACTAAATTTTCTGCTGCTTCATCTTGGACTGGCATCAGTAATAAATACACTGCTACTGTGCAGCATTATACAATTTACAAAGTTTTTACAATTTCAAAGTCAATTGTCGAATAAAATGAACGATTTTGGAGTAAGACGAAAATGATGCTCACAGCAACCATAACTTACTACCTTTATTTAGCTTGTTCAGTGACGTTAGCTTAAAATCATGCAAATTGTCAGTTATCCATTGTATAATTCGTCCTGTCATGCAAACTTTATGATCTTTTAGTCTATAATCAATATCACCAAAATAATTTTAAGTCTGCAAGCACATTTTGCATATAGATTATGAAGAATACTGTAAAGGTTTTAGTATCATCGTTACTTAGCTTTTTGCATGTATCTTTTTCAGTATTCGCTAAAATAATTGATATTGCAAATAACTGAAATTTCTATACGTCTGATTCAACATTAGGAAGTGATGAATATTAATTGGATGTTGATCGAACAAGGTCCGCTCCGATAAATTAACTTTCGGTGTACCAACAGGAACATAACAGATGAAATATATCAAAAAGTTGTTAGATGATTAAGTTGTACGTAAATGTAGCGGGCACATTATGACAGATGATAGCTTCTTAAAAGCTAACTTACCGTGTGTAATAGATTTACATATTGCTTTAAGCGACTTTATGTACGCGGTGGAACACTAATTTAATCTTCGTTCTTATTCAACAATATGTAATTGTTGTAAAAAAATTTCATATTACCTCGCTTCTCGACGTCTTGTGACACCTATGACAGTATCCCTCACTAAGCACGACAAAACGCGTTCACCTAATAAAATACCTTAAACAGTGAGCGAGTATTTTGATATGGACCGCAAAGACTAATTCATTACAGTAATGGGGTATATTAAGCTTCGTTCTTTCGCAGTGCTTTTATTTTATGGTTCCAAATATTCCATCGAACGCATTAAATAGCTTGATATACATGTGTTATTTGCAAGATGTCAGCACATGCGTCCATAAATAGCAAGAAAGTGATGGTATCTACCCTAGTCACAAAAGTGATGGCCTATGTAATTTATTATGATGATTAAATTTGTCATCATCCTCTCATGCGATGACATCGTGATCGTACGTGTTTCTGTGAAATGAATTTCTCCATTCGAGCCGTATTTTGCGCTAATACACATGCAACTGTTAAGAGTTGCTATGTCTTCTCTGCTCAAGATTCAAATTATATCGTCGTTACTTGTTTTTAAATATTTTTTTGGCTGAGCGTGTAAAAGTAAATCTAGAAGCGAGTGCTCTTCTACATTTATTTTTTGAGTTTCCGCAGAATTCTTTTTAACACGGTAAGCGCTCCCTTGCTTATAGCAACCAGCAAGAGTACTTGGTTAAATCTGGAATAGAGCGCGTTAATCAATTAATTTAACGTCACGTTAATTATTTTATTTAAATATTATTTGTTTTTGGTTTGAGTGGTTTCTAGAATCAAAAAGCCGCTCAAATAAAGCTCAAAACCAATTAAATATTCGTTGTTACCATACCCACATCGAGATAAAAAAGAATATGACGTGAGCCCCCCTAAATCGAGTATAGCTTGTCCCTACTAACGTAACATTTTTTTTGTTTATACGTCCTATGTGAGGGAATGCTTACAACTAGCAATTTTAAAATTTTTACCTACAAAAAGCAGTTACATTGTATGCCTTCAGAGAAATATAAATTTTTGAAGTTACTATCTTATATTATTTGGCACAGGATCTCGTCTTCGCTATAAATTACTAGCATCTGCAACGAAGTAATACTATTCCAGGCTGTCTTACACAGAAATAAAAGAAGAATTCAACAATAGTTATGATCATAGGTTTTTAAGGCGAAAAAAACTGCCATACATCCTAGTTCGGCGAATACACTTTAGGTATCATCGCACGTTTTCTTCATACAATAGGTCTGCATACGACGAAGTCTGCAGACATCAAAGTCATGACTAAGAGCCAAAAAGAAACAATAGATCATTGGGGTCTATTGATAAAAATTGTGTTTTTAAAGCATCAAAACTGATAGGAAGGAAAGGAATGCGATCTTACAAGCAGAACAACATTGATAGCAACTACATCACATACAACAACAGCAGTAGCAAAAGAAGTAGAAGCAGTAGCATCAACAGTAGCAGCAACAGCATCTACAATAGCAACTGTTACAGCAATACCAAGAGCAATAACATTATTATTACCAACATAAGCGCGGACTGACTGTTTTAAGACCGCGACCGATGATACAAAGGCGCATATACGTCCTACCGTCTCGTGGGTAAGCCTGCGACGGTTGGCCGCAAGCGCAGCACGCCCGCGGCAGAACCCATTCGGCGGCTTTCTGAACATGGTGACGGTTGGTGACGGCCGTCAAACGGAAAACGACATTGATTACGGACGTGAGATTTTGTGTGTACCACACAAACTGGAGTATACAAGGATGTGTAACACCCTATACACTTACAACTAATCTGGGGCATTTTTTTTGATTGTCTGGAGATTGTTCTTATTTTCGTTTTAAATATACAATTTTTTCCCAGTCGATTATATACTTTTATTTTTAAAGAAATAATGTCTATCTTTGACATTCGAGAATCATTGACCTTTAGCCAACATTTTTACTGAATAATGCTTCTGCTTGGTTTTCATTCGCACCATCGAATCGTGCGTCGTGTTACATTAATTTAAGTTTATGTAGATCAAAGTTTGTCATTTTTGCTGGCGTGTTCTTTTTTTGTTAAATGTGACAAAAGTTTGTATCGTAGCATTAAGACCGACATCTACTACCAGCACTCTCTACTTAAACATTCGAATACCGCTTATAATTTTAGTGAGGCTAGGTTCACTGGAATTATCTTGACATTCCACTGCAATTAAATTTGCTCGCTCGGTTTTATTATATAATTATTCGTTCGATTATGATTCTTGATCGAGAACTGCTTACCAACATCGTATACATTACTGTCAATGAATTTGATAGTTGGTAAGCATATTCTTTCTTGTAGTTTCTGATACGGGGTTACTCGGGTGTCTTAAGCCAAGACACCTACAATGTATATTTGGTACACAGCTCTTTGGGGGATATTCTGTGTGGGTCCTATGATGCGCCATCTGAATAGCTTTTAATAACATTGATTACGCATCTTTAAGTACTATGCTTTCACAATCGATAAAACACTACGAACGTATCTTTTGCTGACTGGATAATGGGTCATTGATAGCTGACTGACCTGTCTGTCAGTCAGCACCAAATGACAGGCTGACTCGTCAGTCACAGTCAAATATTAATATATTGGATACTACGAATACTGAGAGAACAAGTTTTACTTGAGTGCATGGGAGCTTACGACATTTTTTTGCTTATATTATGAGCATTCATTGAGTTCAGTTCCCTTTTCAAAAGGCTACAGCATAAGATTTTCAGCGCGTTAATGAGTGCAGTTGTGCTTATAATTCGAATTAACCCTGGTAAGCTTTTGCTCTACACATTAGATTCCACCATATTATCATACATCTGGCGAAAATATACGTCTTCAAATCTCAATTTCTAATGTTGTAAGAGGCTGTGAGACGTGGCCATAAGCCGTGAAGTCTGCCTCTGAATTACAAGTAGTGTAGGTTCACTGAAAGGGCTCTCTTGCATGTGCCCCGGCGTGCTACGGTATTAAAACCACTAATAAACTGCAAGTGTCACGTAGTGTTGCGTCAACCGCCAAGCCAACACGCCTGTGCCATCTCGACGTTCGCAGCCGCCCTTGCTTGTCAATTTTTATGTGCTTGAAATTACTTTCCTGGCGACAAGTATGGCAAATAATCCCTCGGCGATATCACGTTGAGAGCCCACCAATTTACAAGTCGCCAATGGCCCACTGCCGATCGCAATATCGGGATATCTAATCCAAAGACTGATCCAAAAAAACTAAAAAAATTAGCCCATCATCTGCTATTAGGTCTTTGTGTGATGTCTCTGGTATAGAGATCTGCTTCGCTAGTCCTGTCAGCACATAAACCAACTAATATTTCGTGTTTCATGGCATTTTGCCTTTATTCGTTTGCCTTTTGAGCTGCCGACCTTGTGCCAACAGCTCCGTATCAGGCCCTGTGGCAACTAAACCTGCTGGGCTCATAATCTATGACATTAGGATGAAGCTAATGTAAAAGTAGAAGTGGTGTCATCTTTACGTACTCGCTTCGATGCTTCCGTCTCTTCGCTTCCAATCATTCTTGCCTCGCTATTATTGCTCAATCCAAGTATATAATCTGCCATTTCATTCAGTATTCGACTAGCAGTAGCGCTTTTAAAACGAAGTCTGCCTCTTAAGTTCTAAGGATTGAGACAGCCGCGAATGTCAAGGAAACAACTTGCTTCATTCTCTACTTTTTCAATGCATTTATTCTTTCAGCAACGCAAAAAGGTCGACTATGGTTCGCTCTGTAGCTCGTCGAGGCATCCGGAACGCACGACTATTGCAGTCCATTTAATCGAATAGATGAACAATGCAAATAGTGGCTTGAACTTTATTGTAGATAATGCATATCGTAAGACAATAAAATCGTAATGTTGCATTTTGTCCACACACATATCTTATAATGAGCGCTGCAACCGGCAGTTCACATGCTTCCTCTCTACCGTCCGTCTATCAAACAACAGCACAAACGACTAAAACGCTTTAATTCAGCAAACGAATTGGTCTCTTCTGCCCGATGAAGCGTAACGGTCTGTCGGTCTGTAGCGTCTCTTTTCTCCACAAAAACGGCTCTGTGCTTGTCCGTGGCCATAAAACATACGCAGATGACGCGCCCTTGCAATACAAAATCTCTCTGCAATAGAATCTACGGTCAAATACGTGCCGTGTCACTCCTCTCTTCAGTAACATACGTGATCACGAACTACGTGTGCGAGTCATACGACCTCAAAGCTCACGCCAATGGCGACAGGTGAGTCAGCTCTTCTTCTCTCGGACGCATCCAACAGCACCAGTATTAATCCATTTGATACGTAGATTAACTGCAAATGTCTCGTTTACCACCTCTACGTCTCGATACAGATCCACCAACGCACATCTTTGTCACTCACGCGCTCTAACTCCACCCACCTGCCATTCCAACTGCACTCGATTTCGTGCATACAGACACTGCCACAATGACCGCAAGCGACGACTCGCAATTCAAACACGTACCAAGTTGTTTCTCCGTGGCAAGAGCGGTGTTGAACCCATCTTGGGTCCGCCCTCTTCTAGCAGGAACAAGACGCTCAAGATTGAGCGCGATGACAATTTTGCAGCTGTAGGCTTTGCTGATCTCTTGGAGCTCACCAACGATGGCAAGCTTCTCGTGCTCGTGCGCACTGCATCCGGTTTTAAATTGCACGACTCGGACAGTGGTGCTGTCGTCGTAAACATGGCCAATCCAGGCATTCAAGCAGTGGCCTGGTCGCCACTCGGCTCGCACTTGTTGACATGGCAGCGCCCCCAGAAAGAATCAGACCTCGGTAATCTCGTTGCGTGGGGTAAGCGCGCACGGGCCAACAAGTCGCACGATTTGAGCAAAAGTCCTATACACGTGATGTACGTGGAACGCTTATTGACGAGAGCAGGAGAATAGGTATGGTGTGGTGTGTGCGTGTCTTGAGCTGACGTGCTGTCATCGTGCTTTTTCTCTTCATCTTTTTGTTGTTGTTGTTGTGATAGAAATGGTGCCGCTTCAGGGGTCGTCTGATGAGACGATCTGTGCGCGTCAGAGTGCAAACGGTGTGATGCTGTACAGCGGTCGCGACGTCGCAGCGGGACCGATCGGTCAATCAACCTCCCCGTACGTGGGATAGCCGTCTGTATTACGCGAGGAGCTAAATTAAGCTGAGTTGATGATGTATGATGTGGTGCGGTCTTTTGTGATTGGAACGTGGCGAACTTCAGTGTTGCTCCTGGCGGAGATCCATACGAGGTGGCTTAGTTCGTTCCAGAGAAGAAGGGCAAGCCTGCTAGTGTCACGATTTTCCAATTTACCAACCTTGATGTGTCGACAGCAACGAAGAGCTTTTACAAAGCACAGGACGTGATATTCAAGTGGTCTCCCACAGGCAGTGCACTGATCATTGAAACTCGCACGGACATTGATACGTCAGGCAAGTCCTACTACGGTGAAACAGGTCTCTTTTTTCCTGCAGAGCGACGGCGAGTATGACTGCATTGTCCCGCTAACGAAAGAAGGCACAGTGCACGATGTGGCGTGGGACCCGACGGGCCGCGGGTTTGTGGTGATCACGGGTGCAATGCCTGCGAATGCCACGCTTTACGACAGCAAGGCGATCCCAGTCTTTGAGTTTGCTGCAGCGCCCCGTAATCACGTCAGCTGGAACCCGCACGGTCGCTTCTTGTGTCTGGCTGGCTTTGGAAATCTTCGTGGTGACATGGACTTTTTGGAGCGCAACAAGGTCAAAAAGATGGGCTCTGCAACGTTAAACTCCGCGACGACATTCGCGTGGTCGCCGGACAGCCGCTACTTTGCAGTGGCGACTACGTTCCCGCGTCTGCGTGTCGACAACGGCTATAAAATTTTCCGCTAAAATGGCGCTGGTCCCATTTACCAGGAAGAGCGCGGCGAGCTGTATGACCTCAAATTCCACCCGGCAGCACTGGACACGTACCCGTGTTAACCGCAGTCTCCACGCCGAAACGACGACGAGGCGGGCTTTGGTTCATCATCCACGACTTCAAATGCTGCGCCGAAGCCGCAAGCATTCCGTCCGCCAAACTCGATAGGAGCGCTCGCTGCAATGATGCGAGAAGAAGAAGGTGGACCGAAGAAACTGGACCGTAACAAGCATGCAGCTCCTCGCAGCAATACCTCAACAATTCCTGGTGCTGCGCCGCGTGTGATTCCCGGAATGACAGCTGCAGCGCCCAAGAAACTGAGCAAGAGTGCCTGTAAGAAAAATGCGCAGGAGGCTGTTGAAGCCAAGGCTGCCGTGGACGAGGCAATTGCCAAACTTGCTGGCACCACCTCAGAGGCACCGACAGAAATGAGTCCGGTCGAGCTGTCTCCTGAGGAGAAGGCGAAAAAGGTGAAGAGTTTGCTGAAGAAATTGAAGCAGATTGACGCGATCAAAGCGAAGAAGATGAGTGGCGATGTGCTGAACGACGATCAGCTGCACAAGCTCGAGACTAAACAGGGCCTGCGAGACAAAGTGGCTCAACTCTCTGCGTAGCTGGTGTGCGAAAGAGGCGATGCAGGGAATGTGCTGATACAACGCCAATAGAGACCATTGACCTGATAAGTAATCAGTCGCCTGTACGCGGCTCTCTAAATGTGCGCACGTGTGATCGACATTCCTTGCGCTTCATCCGACCAATTATTGCCGTCATCTACGATTCCGTTCAACTAGTCTTACCCTTATCCTCAATGAATGGACAGCATGACGTAAGCTGCCGACTGGGTAGACGGCGCAGATGGCAAGGGCTCATAATGCCCTAACACCTCATTTCGACCGTCTTGTAATGTGATTATCGACTACTGGGTCACTTTACAATTCTTTGCAGAAGATTCCAGCTCAGGTCGTCATCACCTACAATTATGACTATCAACGGGCTTGTGCAACGCAGATCTATCAAGTAGGTGTTAACCATTAAAATCATCGACTCACACAGTCTTGACTTTCCGCGAGTGTATTGAAGGCAATACCAGTCATCATCGACTTCCACAGTCTCGACTTTCCATGAGTTTGTTGAGCGCAATATTTGTCATCTAAATCACCCGATTTTTTATTTCTGATGTTTCAGCTGCCACATGAAAATAGCCCATCATCAAACGGACGATATTGCGATGTCAGTAGCCCTCCAACGCTCACCTGACAACAAGTCAATTCACAATGACCAACGTTCCTCGTTATCTCCACGTATAGAGAAGCCGCTTGTTATCCACTATGTCAAACAAGATCAGCCCGGGTCTACACACTGTAAAGCGAGGCACATGGTGTGCTTTTCGTAAAGCAGTGTAGTCATGGAGTTAGCAGGTAACTACCACGCTAATAGATTGAGGTCAATCACGAATTGCGGACTCGGTACACAGCCAATGATGTCTGATTCAATCAACAGAGGTGCATTTATTCACTAAAAGCCCTTGATAACATTGGATCTTGAGCTTATAACTACACATCTACCTGAGTCGGTCACGTCGTTGTCTTTCCCATATTTCTTTTACAAAACTGATTATATTGATTTTTCAGAAGGTACTGGGCTCGACAATATTCGATCGAATCAGATTCGTCAGGCAGCGTAAGTTTCGGCGTGAAACCACCATGCTTGCCGTGTGCTCTGATATGTACAACGTAATTTGCTGTCACGGCGAAGCAGTCGTTCTCCAAATTCATGGACGCTTACTCGATTCCGCTCGATATACCATTGCATTTGTTGGGTATGTATCGTCCAATTGTATGTGACGATGGACTAGCGCTAGCTCAACCCAAAGAGCGGATTGTCTAGATGTGATATATTGAGCGCCAAATTGTGAAAGCGATAACATAAGAAATATAATGCAGGGCTAAGATCTACACCAACTATTTCGAAACCAAAAATTGCATTTATAGTATCCCCATACGTACGGACATCTACAAAACTGCAACATGGTTTCGAGAGAATTTCTATTATCGCTCTCCTCTTCGCACAAGATTTCAAGACGACTAACTTATGTTTATATCTCCTTTTATCATCGTTTTGCGAGAGAAAATAGGTAGTCGAAGATTAAGAGTAAGCTTAAATAGGTCGTAATTCATTTTTTGTAAGATTACCTTACTTCTGTCCTTCTAATTTTCATCAGCTAGTTCGACATGGTACACTACGCTGTCATCTCTAGTGGCATTGTTGTCATGACAGCAAACGAGAGACACTGATATATATATATGTGGCTTTACCATGCTGCAAATGATATTTGCCTTCAAATTTAAATTATTTGGGGCTTAAAAAGGAAGGATGAGCAATGAGCGAAAGACGACAACAAATCGAAGAAAGGACATACAGCAAGATGCTAGAAAAAGGAAGGATGAGCAATGACTAAAATACGACAACAACCCGAAGAAATGCCAAAAACTGATTGATGATCAACAAAAATTCATCAATGTACTCGTGTGGCCTGTACCGGGAATAATTAGGCTTACAATCCTGTGCGCAATGTTACAACACTACGGATTTAATATCTGGCTATCATCATCTCTTTGCTGATGGTAAAGATTGCGGGAATGTTCGCAAGCTCATGCTTACAGCATAGGAAAGCTAAAGCCGTTGGCGTAATGGTAGTTTATTTGGGTGGTACAAGCACGAAATGGGTACTTATTCTGTTCTAAAGTACACTGTAGTGTCACTCCGTATGCACGGGTACGGGTAGTATGTGGTGTATTTAATTTACTTATCCTTATTATATCAGCCACAATTGCTACATTTTCGAATTCTACTCTAGTAGAGGGTAAAAAACCTACACTTAATTTGATGCGAAAAATTAATTTTCGATTGCAGGAATTTAATTAGTATCATTCGCATTTTGACCTGCACAAGACAAGTGCCTAACGATAGCGTCTTTGATCACAAAAAATGAAAACATTGTGAATATATTTGCTCTTGATACCTTTGTGATGTAGGGAATTACATTGTTAAAGACCCATGTATTAGCACTTATAGCTTAATGACCTCAGCAAACACATTGATTTGTGTTCTTATTCGAATAAAATATCTCGTTTAGCCAAACCAATTCTCTTTCGCAAAGGCGATGTTGTAGATATGCCGCATGTGCGCTATGGGTTGCAGATCTTATATAAATGAGTGTAGCATCTGTTAGAATGAGAGCACTTGATCTTGACGATGCGGATTTGAAACTGTCGTTCAATTAAATTATGCAAGTCCTACCTTCCTACCATCAGGACTCTGTTCAACTCTTTCGGGAAAAGTACAACCTGGGATCATACCTATGAAATAGATGCTTTCGTTAACCTTCACCAACTGCCCATTGATTCACCAGCTGCCATTTAAATTCATGATCTGACATTCAACTGCAATCAAAGCTTTTCCAACATTATAAAGTACGTTATTTAGGTGCTATAACTTCCAGCGACTATGAGAGATTATAAATCTGACTCATAACAACAATAAGGTTAATGACTCACTGAATTCCTCGCAGTTGTTATATTTAACGCCAGCTCGTATCTTATTTATGCGTTGACAGGTTTCATGTGAATGCATCCTTCAAGCAAACAGATTATAGCCTTGTTATCAAATTTTAATACTTTGTGTAGCCGGTTCACGAATCGTAACCGTGTTTATCATACCTGGAAACTTCGCGGGCTAAAAGATTTCTAAACGTCTAATAGCCTACAATTCAGTAATTTTCTATTTTTATGTACTTCGATGTATTACGTTTGACAATTGTGTCATTTTGAAAAATGAATAGCTCTTCGATCATAGCTTTTTTCTGGTAAGATGCTACATAGCTACGGTACGGGTAAGATTTATATATTAGATGCAATATAAAAAAAATTTTAATTGAAAAACTAGCTTCACTAAATATTTTTACTGTCTGTTGACACTGGACACTCGTATCCTCATGTGATCTATTGTCATTTGTCAGAACTAGACTTTTCCTTCTCCCCGGCCGGAGTATTATCGTTTACTTATATAATACATGTGACTCCTACCTTGTGCGATTTATATGTTCCGCAAGTGGAAACGCCGCCACAGCAATTAGATTTGCATCGAGTTTATATACTTTTTCTTTAAGCATTAAGGGTCTACTTGTGGATGTGAACAAAAATATACACTCGAACGACAATGCTGAGATCGATTATACCGTTATCTTACAAAACGCTAGGATTGGTGACATAGATTGTGTACAGTGATGTTAATTGACCGGTCGCATATCATAAGTGACCGTCGCGATCACCTAAACGGTCAATTGAACATATGTGACCATAATTATCCACGGCATTTTTATCCACAAATCGCATAAAGAAGGGGCTATATACAGTTTAAAAATCGTTATGGTTAACAAAATATTTTGGGCGCTATAGGCCTGGCTGCCACATCTCCGACAGAGCCTTTGAAACCTGCAGACATTTGGAGAATGGGTGCGAAAATGTGGGACGGGCCTTAATATAAGTATAGCAACTGGTTTAATGTGCTGTGCTTATGCGTCTTCATTCTATAGAGGACACCAGATTTAGTCGTACCTCCATAATGTAACCTCTATAGAGGGTTTTGTTCCTGTTTTAGGAACTGATAGTACCGCACCAAGTTCCGTCACTTGGTTTTTGTATGCTGAATATACATAAGATACTTAATAAAACGGGTACTGAAACAACGAGCATAAACCACAGGTTTTCCTCTATATTGGACTTGCCACAATTTTGCATTGCCTGCCACTTATCACATCTTCATCCGTTTCACCTTACGTATGTCGTCAAAGCAAACAATTCTGATGATGGAGCAAAAGCGTCAGGTACAGGTGCTCATCACACGCACGATAGCCATAAATCGTTTCCAAATACAAGACTAGAACAGGGAGAAGCTCGGCCTTCGGATCTCCACAACGGCAGCAGATCGGATTTGTCAAGCACCATCCAACGCGTTCTTTGCCACGGGAAGGAATACCAATCGAAAGTTGCTGTTTCCAGAGATTGAGGCTTCGTTCTTACCATTCTATCGTCTCAATGACTGCAAAGCGATTCTCACAGACGATCTAATACAAGAAGAAGTTTGCTTTGTACAAGCCGCTTAAGGTAAAAGCAATAATCTCCGACGGCTTTCGAATGGGTGGCTGCTCAAATTTAGGACTCGAAACGGCATCCAGCACCATGTGCTTCATGGAGAAACAGACTCAGTTGATCGCGCTTAACTCGCGGTTAATCAAATGGAGCTTTAAGAGCTGATTGGACTATATTCACCAGAGATATATTTAATTTTGACTAATCAGCTCTCTTCTATCGCCTACCTTCAAACGAGACACTGGCAACAGCAAAAAGTCAGAGAAGGATCGTATCGCAGTCGAAATGTGCTGCAACATGAAAGGGACCGAGAAGATGATTCTCGTTGTCATAGGCAAGTCGAAGCAACCACGAGCATCTCCCAAAGCCAAAACCAAAAAAATGAAGTTTATATACTTCGACAAACAGACTGCGTGGAAAAACAGACCAACGTTTGATGATTGGCTCCGGTATTTCGATGCTAA